CGTGACGAACTCGATGGTGGTGGACTCCATCAGGAAGGCGTAGTCAGACGTCAGCACGCGATGGATGCCCTCCTCCACGCTCTTCACGATCACAGACTGACGCCGGCTGTTCATGAACTCCCACATCTTATCGTACGTCGAGATCTTGGTTTTCTGCAGCGGAGACAGAGAGGTTTATCCATTCGAACGCTGCGTTAGGATGAAATCGGACAGGAATTCAACTGAAAAACTGCTTAACAGATGAAACTGAATCAGTGTCATAATTGATGAAAGATGAACTGAATCATTCTTGAAAATAACTCTATTGTCTTCTGTAGAGCTGCTGTATAGCATAAAAATCCATTTGTTTTGTGATTGATTCATTTGAACTGAACTGAATCAAAATTGAGTTGAATAATGACTCTGTTGTCTTCTGTAGAGCTGCTGTATATCATACAATTGAATTTGTTTCATAACTGATTATTTTACAACATTAGCACTGAACTGAATCGAATCAAAACTGAACTGAATCAAAATTGAACTAAATTGAGTTGAATAATGACTCTGTTGTCTTCTGTAGAGCTGCTGTATAGCATAAAAAACGAATTTGTTTCATAACTGATTATTTTACAACATTAGCACTGAACTGAATCGAATTGATCTGAATTGAATCAAAACTGAAATGAATCATTCTGAATAATAGCACTGTTGTCTTCTGTAGAGCTGATTTATAGCTTAAAAAATCCATTTGTTTTGTGATTGATTCATTTGAACTGAACTGAATCAAAATGTTGAACTAAATTGAGTTGAATAATAGCACTATTGTCTTATGTAGAGCTGCTTTATAGATTTAAAATGAATTGTTTTCATAACTGATTAATTTTGTAACATTAACACTGTTATTGGCCTGTTTGTTGAACTGAATCGACTCAAAACTGAACTGAATCATTCTGAATAATGACTCTGTTGTCTTCTGTAGAGCAGCTTAAAACTGAATCAGTTTCATGAAAGATGAACTGAATCATTCTTGAAAATGACTCTATTGTCTTCTGTAGAGCTGCTTTATAGATTAAAAATTCATGTTATTACAACATTATCACTGTTATTTCCCTGTTTATGTTCACTGAAGTGAATTTAATCGCAGTTAAACTGAATTGATCTGAAAAATGACTCTTTTGTCGTCTGTAGAGCAGCTTAAAAATGAATCGTTTAATAATTGCTGGATTTTACAACATTAGCACTGTTGTGAACTCAATTGAATCAAAACTGAAATGAATCATTCTGAATAATAACTCTATTGTCTTCTGTAGAGCTGATTTATAGCTTAAAAATCCATTTGTTTTGTGATTGATTCATTTGAACTGAACTGAATCAAAATTGAACTAAATTGAGTTGAATAATGACTCTGTTGTCTTCTGTAGAGTTGCTGTATAGCATAAAATTGAATTTGTTTCATAACTGATTATTTTACATTAGCACTGAACTGAATCGAATTGATCTGAATTGAGTCAAAACTGAACCGAATCATTCTGAATAATGACTCTGTTGTCTTCTGTAGAGCTGATTTATAGCTTAAAAATCCACTTGTTTCGTGATTGATTCATTTGAACTGAATTGAATCAAAACTGAACTGAATAGAGTTGAATAATAGCACTATTGACTTCTGTAAATCTGCTTTATAGATTGAAAATGAATTGTTTTCATAACTGATTATTTTGTAACATTAATGCTGCTATTTTCCTGTTTGTTGAACTGAATCGACTCTCAACTGAACCGAATCATTCTGAATAATGACTCTGTTGTCTTCTGTAGAGCAGCTTAAAACTGAATCAGTTTCCTAACTGATTATTTTACAACATTAGCACTGTTATCGAACTGAACTGAATCGAATTGATCTGAATTGAATCATACTGAACTGAATCATTCTTGAAAATGACTCTGTTGTCTTCTGTAGAGCTGCTTTATAGATTAGTTATTACAACATTAACGCTGTTATTTCCCTGTTTGTTTCAGTGAAGCTGCTTCGAGTCCATCTGTACTGCATAAAGCGCTGTAGAAATCGATCTGACGTGAATAACACATTGGCCTGCAGTACCTTGAAGAAGGTCATGGTGGCGCCGTCCTCCACCACGCCGTACAGGATCTTGGTTTGTTTGGCCAGATCGTCGGCCGAGTCGATGGGCGACTCCATGCGCTCCACCGTCAGGAAGGCGGCCAGGTTTGCGGTGTAGGACGAGATGATGATGAGGGTGAAGAACCACCAGATTCCTCCCACGATCCTAGTGGACAGAGCCTTCGGCATCAGCTCCGACCCTGAGCACAGATTCATGAAGAAATAAATGCCCTAAATCAGCTGGAGTTAAGTGACTTTTTTCATCATTTAATTTCTATTTATTGCATGCATATGTGACCCTGGAGCACAAAACCAGTCTTAAGTGTCAATTTTTTTAAATTGAGATTTATGCATAATCTGAAAGATGAATAAATAATCTTTGCATTGATGTATGGTTTGTTAGGATAGGACAATATTTGAAAATCTGGAATCTGAGGGTGCAAAAAAATCTAAATATTGAGAAAATCATCTTTAAAGTTGTTCAAATGAAGTTCTTAGCAATGCATATTACTAATCAAAAATTAAGTTCTGATATATTTACGGTAGGAGATTTACTAAATATCTTCATGGAACATGATCTTTACTTAATATCCTAATGATTTTTGGCATAAAAGAGAAATCTATAATTTTGACCCATACAATGTATTGTTGGCTATTGCTACAAATATACCCCAGCGACTTAACACTGCTTTTGTGCTCCAGGGTCACATATTTATTTGTGAAGAAAATTTTAAATAGAAATGACTACTAATTTGTAAATTTGTTAGAATAAGTATATTGTTTTTTGTTTCAACACTGCTTTTGCATATTGTAAAATAATAATAACAACAAGAGCAGTCTTGAGAGGTTTATCTGAGCGAACGAATCCCCTCAATCAGAACTTGAGACATTTGAAGTTCATATTTCAATAATTCAACAACATATTCACATGTTCACGCTTCTCTGACGTCGATTAACGGTGGCGTGACAAGCTGGTAAACACATAAAACTTATGAAGAAATTTTTTATTTTGATTGTTTTTATTTTCAAGTTATTTATATATAGGGCTTGACTTGCAAATTATTTTCGTCGATTAACGGTGGCGTGACAAGCTGGTAAACACATAAAACTTATGAAGAAAGTGTTTTATTTTGATTGTTTTTATTTTCAAGTTATTAATATATAGGGCTTGACTTGCAAATTATTTAGTCATATATTGCAATTTGAACTGTGATATGATAAACATTTCAAGTTTATATTGGACTCAAACCTCTTTTGAGTTGTAATAGCGTCACACCAGTGTTTTTAGGAACACAATCAAATTTAATATTAGTAATAATCATTTTTATAAATTTTTATGAAATGCTGTAAAATTCTGTCCCTGGTGCACACTGCATTCCCAAATGCATGTTAAACTCACAGCACATGCAGAGACGGAGTTTGCATCATTTACTATGCCATAGTATGAATTTCAATTATTATGCACTTATTTATTTTAATATTATATTTGATTGAATTTATTATTAGCATAACTCGTGAATCCTCGTTTGGGAAAGCCTGCCCTAAATGATCATTTATCAGTAATTTGGCATCTCATGTCTCCTGCAGCTGTTGCATTGTGCGCTTTTCTCGAGTTCAGAGCTGTGCTCCAGCAGGAGGCGCCCAGACGCTGACGGACTCACCTTGCCGCATGAGAGCGCCGACACCGAACCAGAAGCTGTTCAGCAGCGTGAAGTTATTCTCCACCGGAAAGCCTGCCCTAAATGATCATTTATCAGTAATTTGGCATCTCATGTCTCCTGCAGCTGTTGCATTGTGCGCTTTTCTTGAGTTCAGTTGTGCTGTGAGTGTGATCAGGAGCAGCTGTGCTCCAGCAGGAGGCGCCCAGACGCTGACGGACTCACCTTGCCGCATGAGAGCGCCGACACCGAACCAGAAGCTGTTCAGCAGCGTGAAGTTATTCTCCACCACGTCTGAGTCTGGGTTACAGGGGTGAGGGTTATACCACTCGTACGGACTGAACCTGAGCACACAGAGAGAGCATAGACTGACGCATTTACTGCCACAGCGTGCACACACATACACACACACACACATACACACACACACACACTCTCTCACTCTCACACACACACACACACACACACACACACACTCTCTCACA